ATTGTATACTAAATGAGCCCGTATGTCATGGATCCTGGCACCCCCGACATATGGAACCCAACACAGCTGCTTTGCTTCATGTGTCCAAATAGACGCTGGCTCCCCGCTCCCTCCGGGACGCTGCGCTGTCGGCCGGGAAAGCTGCCTCCCCTCTCCCTTCTCCTCCCCTCCCCGTTGCCTTCCCCGTGCGGCTCCAGCACAGGGAGGGGGGGACCCCAGGCTGGCACAGACGCCTCCAGCACCCCAGGAATGGCAAAGGCAGGTCTTGCCCCAGGAGCATCTTCACCCCGGACAGCGGAGAAGGGCCGGGGTGGAGCAGGGGAAGGGGAACAAACTTCAGATGGGGAAATGCGGCTGCTGGTGGAGACGGCAGCCGGGCTGGGAAGGCAGCCAGGCAGAGATGTACAACATATTACCTCTCTCAGGCCTGACAAGCTCGTAATGAGCCACACGACTGAGAAATGGGAACTAAACGAATATGGACAGGCGATGACTGGGAAGAAATAGTCCACATCCCGTTCAGAAAGACTGGCAGCGGGCAGAGCCCTCGGTGTCTTTGCAGAAACGCTGCCCAGGAACCCCGGCAGCGTGGAGAGAAATGTCTGCACAGCCCCTCTGAGCCCCCCCGCCCCCATGAACATACGTGGCTGTTTCTCTGCACGCTTACACAAACACACGGGCACACACGTGCACAGACACACAGACACGTTTCCCAGCACATACGTGCAAGTGGTCCCGGTGAAAAACTCCTCTGTGGGAACCCCACATCCATTTATGCACAATAACTTACAGCCACGCTCGTAAATCCACCCCAAATCAGACATCTCTGCGCAGAAACACATGCTCATCCCTGCACTGTGATATTCAGATTTCGCTAAGAAAAATTAACCCGGGCTTTTTTTTTTTTTTTTTTTTTTCCCTCCAACACAAAACCTCTCAGCTGTGTGTGAGTATGAGTAAACCACCCAAATCCTAACCGAAAAGTTACTCTTGTGAAGCCCTTAGCCTGGAGATGACGGAAGGGCTGATGGAAACGTGGCATTTGGGATCCATGGGGACGCCCTCTCAGGGCTCTGAGCTTGCAATAAGCTGCCCTGTCCTCGGAGCACACCTGAGTTTGCTTTTGCGTTTAACTTCTCTCCCTGCGCTCAGCTTCAGAGACCAACCAGCCACGACCAAGGCAAGAGCGTGGATCTCCAGCTCCCAAATCAGCCACCTCTGCTGTAGCCATCCGCTACAGCCACGACTCCTGTGCCTTGTTTAACATTCTCCACTCTCCTCCTGCTTTCAGCTCTTTTTTCCTTCCCCTCTTGCCACCTTCTTGCTGACCCAGGACCTTCTTTCTGGTGCCTGGTGGTGGAGGGAGCAGTCCTGCCCTCCCAGCTGCCCTCGGGAGCAGCGTGTCGTGGGTGGCCACCACCCAAAGCAAACTCTGGCAAGCGGGCGCAGCCCTCGGTGGCCAGCTCGAGGCAGGTCGCTGTGGCCATGTCGTGTTTCCTTGCATGCTGGCTGTGCCGCCCTGCTCCCACTCACAATAGCCCTCCCTGGAGCATCGCTCCCAGCCGCGGCAGCTCCCGGCAGCGGGGCAGGACGGCAGCTCCAGCCGTGAATGCAAGCTCTGGAGAGGCTGCAGCCGGGCTGGAGAGCGAGAGAAGGTCAGCTCCAGGGTCGGACACGTGCCACGGCAGCTCCGCGCTTCCAGCTCCTGGGCCGCAGCGAGGAGCCGGTGCGTGGATGTCCAGGATCACGGCCATGGGTGCAGCTCCGCACCCGTGTGTGCAGCTTCTCCTCAAATCCTCTCCCCACTGCTCTTGGGGACGGGCAACTGTCTTTGCTCTCTTGCACTAGCTTCCCCGTTCTTCTGTCTCCCTCTTAGCCCGGCGCTGCTGCTCTGAAAACAACGGGCCTGTTCTCTTCTTGCTCTGCAAACTCAGGTGCTGCCTCATCCCACTGGGGCCGTGCTGAGGTGCAGTCCCTGGTGAACCACTCCGGTTCTGCTGCCTCCCGGCCCCATCCCTTCAGCACAGGGCAGGGAAGGGGACAACCAACCACCTCCTGTCCCCTCTTGATGCACCAGCACTGAAGCACGAGCACGTCGTGGCATCCTGGAGTAGGGGAGGCTGCAAAAACTTCTTCTCCTTGGGCAGATGGGGATGATGACCTGGCTCAGGAACAGCCTGGGAACCGCTCACCGGTCACCACGCTCTGCGGAGGGGACGGGCTGTGGGACACGTTGCTGTCCCTGTCTCAGCGTCCTTGCGAGCGAATTGAAGCCGTATCAAACACGGGAGGTGGGAGTCCTGCGTGGAGGTCTCCATCGCAGAAGGATGTTGGAGCATTTGCGTGACGACAAGTTTCATACTGGACCCAAACCTTCGCGGGGTCAGCCCAGTCCTCAAGAACATTTTCCTTCGCGTGGGTGACTTGGGCTCTGGGTGGCTCTTTTCCACTCTTCCCTTCAGCTGAGCTGTAACCTGCCACCTTCCTAAATTCACTTACTGCAAGAACCTCTTTTACACCTACACTTGCTCCAGTCCTGCCTTCAGCAAAACGGGAAGCAATGCTTCCCAGCTCCTCGCTTGCCCTTTTCCTTGCCCCCCAAACCAGCGCTGTCACAATTTTTGAAGACTCCCTGGCCACAAAAAGTGTGCCTGGTACCCACTTGCAGGCTGGAGGTTCCTTTTCTTTTCCCTGCTCCGGGCCACCACCAAGCCCAAAGCGAAGGATGCGCGCAGGGGTTTGTGCGTTAAACCTCGCACCGAGGCCAAGCCCCTTCCCGAGAGAGCCCGGGGGCTCGTGCAGAGACTTTCCTGCTCAGCCCAAGCTGCTGATCTCACCGTCCCTCTCCCCACCCTCCACGCTACTATTTCATCAGCATCAAACCTCACAGCAACATCCCGGATCGCTGCTCACCCCACCCCGGGACAGCCACCTTACCCCCGAGCCGACGAGCATTCCCAGGCTCCAGCTTTTCTCTTCCAGCAGGATGAAGCTCAAAGTAATCCAGGGAGGGAGGAACCGCTTGGCTCATCCATCCATTGAGGAGGCAGAAAGTTTCCCCGGGTGTGCGCAGCGTCCTGCTCCGTGGGATGGACTTGGGCGGGGGGGGGGTCAGGGGGAACCCCAGCAGCCTTGGGGCCCGGGCATGCTACTCCTTGGGCAGGAGTGCCAGCGGGCCACCGCGCCTTGAGATGGACACCCCAAGGAGGCATGTGCCCCATACGCTATATATACACCTGTCTCTTATACACATC